TTTTGTGTGTCTTCCCCCACTTGTTATCTCAGTCTAGTCAATTAATCTTTTAAGGTCTCGCTTTTTTCAGAATTACTGTATTGTTCATTTATATCTGTGTCCGTACCACTGTATCATTCATTTCACACATTCTTTGTAGTCTTACAGTCTGTTACTTGTTCATATCTTGATTAATCCCACTGGTTGGAAGTTAAAATACCAGACGTGGCACGATGGTGCAGTACTTTCTTAAGTACCGAGGCACTTTTTGTCTAATATAGTACAACTCAAATATCTCATCAGCTACTTGATATAAATTCATGGTTTTAAAGTAAGTTATTTCAGGAACATCATATTTAATCTTACTTAATTTTTAGGATTTGGAGGTAGTTACTTAGTGATGAAACAGTGCGACATACTTTAGAGTAAGTGTCTCCTGTTTATTCCTTTACACATCAGTGTTTAATCATCCATGTATGTTGGCCACTTGGGAGTCATGATTTTGTTCCCACCCAGTCATCACTGTGTAAAAATCTGAGAGTGCACTTTGTATTTTGTATTTTGACGCCGCATTTTCTGCAGTTTGGAAAGGGTTTGTATGTGTTTACTAATTCTGAGATAATATAATTTTTCCTGGCAGATTTGGTGTGCAGCTGGGGTAAACCTACAAGGAGGCCGCACACGTGATGGTGGTAATCTCGTGGGAGCAAGTGTGTTCTATACTACAAGTCGACCCGAGGGCATGGAAAAGGGTGAAGGGGAAATGCCAGAGAAGACAACTGGCAGTGAGGTAGACGACCTGGATCAGGAACTCAGGGTAAACACCCAATTATCTGGGTTAATGAAGGGGAAACGACATCACTGGATTCATACAACACTGTTTTTCCCATAATCCTGTCTTGTTGTAATTTTCATCGGCAATAGTTCTGAGAGGGTCAGCCTGATAGCATCATTTCGTGGATGCAATTACTCAGTCCCTACCCCTATAATCTTTGGCTGATTCTCTTTTCTGAAGTTTTTCAATAAACTGAAGCTGTTTTTTTGTTTCGAGTACAACTTTCTTATGATTTTCAGCCATCTTACTTAAGAACCGTAAGTGTAAACTATTATTTTCACCTAACCTAATCCACAGTACATCATAACAGGATTGACTGTAAGAAGTGTTTTCAAACAGAGAAAACCTACTTTGCCATCCTTTGCATAAACCAAGCCATACTGGACTGAACCGAGTTCAGATGCCTAGTAAAGTGATGTGGAAATATTTTTTTAAAAAAAATCTGTTTGTAGTATTTGTATAAATATGGTATTGGTGAAATGTGGGCATAATGTCAAAATGTTGAACATAGGATTTCCTTTAGTGGTGATATATTTCAAGAATTTCCAGGATTATTACAATTTTAGAAGTGTTAGAGTAGCCGAAAACACCTGTTAATTGCGCAGGTAACTCAACCATGTTTTCATTATGTTCTCTCCCATTCAGAAAATGGTGTCTTTTCCAGAAAGGAGAGAAGCTGTGTCGAGAAAGCCAGGAGCTAGAGAGACAGCTGTCCAGTTTAGTGTGGATATGCACTAGCACCCATGCAGCAAGCAAAGTGACTGTCATCGATGCCAATAATCCAGCAGATATCCTCGAGTCTTTCAGTGTATGCAGCTCTTACCTCCTCTGTATTGCAAGTGTGCCAGGTACGTTCATTGATAAAAGGCGATTGTACAGTCTTTCAAGCACTCTCCTTGTAGAATCCGTTTTAAACCCTCAACACCGTCTGAAATACGTAACATGCCGGTAGTTTTATCACATGTTGCTGCCTGTTGTACGAGACGTGACAGCTGAGGTCCCAGAATGTCCCTATAAAAACTATTTTATTAGTTACACACTAATGGTTGCTCTCACCTTTGAGTTGTCATCTTGCATATCACATCAGTACACTTCGCGAATCAGTGTTTCCTCTTCTCAAAGCATTTGTGGAACTCGTCTTTTTGAATTCTCTTCAGGATGGTCATCGGATGGCCCTGAATGTTGGCATTGTCTGAAAATCTGTGGCCCTTCAAAGTGGTCTTCAGTTTCAGGAGTAGCCAGAAGTCACAGTGGGCCAAATATGGTGGATGGTCCAATTTCAGTATAATTTTTGTGGCCAAAAGTGTCCGGACTGCAGGCGTGTCTGGAGCAGGGCCATTGTCATGATGCAGGACCCAAGTGTCAGGCAAAAGTTAATGTCTTCTCTGATGAACGGCCTCGTGTAACCTTGCATATTTTTCGAAATGACGATGCTCATTCACTGTCTGACCTAATTCAGCAAACTTTAAGTGAAGAATGAATGCTCTTGTGATCAAAAAAAGCGAATTTATGTTGTATGTTTTAGGTGCACAGGAAGGAGACTATTCAGAGTCTGATATGGAGGTAAACAACAAAGAGATGACGGAACAACAGGAGAAAGAAGTCTCGTGCGTGTCAGCGGAAAATGAAGTAGAAGATGCAGATTCAGGAGACCACGAACCAAACATTGGAAAGATTTCGTTTGTAAGCTGTGCAACAGGCAGTAGCCATCCGACAAGTGATGCTTCAACCAACAGAGGTATGCTTGCTTCTAAGATTCAGTCATATTTGTAAAAATATTTCATTGGAAACAGAATTTCTTCATTTTAGAGAACACATCAGTTTATTTTTTGTTCATATTTGAGTTTGCTGTTTTGAGGTTGTTTAGTCAGTAAAGCGACTGACTGAGAGTTGAATTTTCACTTTATTGTCATGTTCAGATCTGCTATGGAGCCCACCAGTCTCCTCTCCATTGGGTTCCATTAACTCTTCCCACAGGGTTAAAGTATGAAACTGGTCACTTGGCCCCATCCAGTGCAGAAGTTAGGAAAGAAATGGAATCATACCCCATTCGCAACTTTGCCATTATGTCTAACTAAAATTCACTATGCTCAGACATATGAAAATACTTCTTTTTCTGCTGCTGCGGCGATGTAATCAACATCTCAAGTCTCTTGAAGCTGTGTAGCCGTATCTCCATGTGCGTGGTACATAGTGGAGTAACATGGGCAGTTATTCTCATGGTAGGGGCAAGTCACTGATGATGTAGGACTTTCCATCAGGTTTCTAATTGTAAAGTGATTTCTGGTCTAGTAACTCCTCTGAATTATTTTATGAGATCAAGTCGTGGTGGAGGTCCCCATGTCAGCACAGATGTGAGGACTTTGCTGTCCATTCTTTTTTATCCAGCCAATGGTGGCAGGCTGATGGTTCTGGAGGGGTGTCCTTTCCAAAAAAGGCTCTGACATGGGCAACAAGCCCACAACAGCAAACGTCAGAGAGCAGAAATATGACTGTTAAAGTTGTTTATGTAACGATATCGCCCCTATGTTGAGTAACATACAGATTGAAAGACGTGGTGCAATTCAGGAACTTCAGGTCAAGGGTGGTCATTCATTTCTTGATGCTCAAAATAAGTTCCTTGAAAACAAACCTAAGACTAGGACTCAGTCATATGCATTACTTCTTCGTTATTCACAAGGTATTGATGCCGCAACACACACCACAGCATTACCGAAGCTAGGCAATATATCAGCACTGCCCCACTCAGTTTGAGGTTTCCACCCGGACTGAAGATCACCCAACTCCCGCCATGCCATGTGTGAAGATGTGTGCATATAAACCAACCCAATTAATGTTAGACGGCTTTGGAATATTCTTTGAAAGTCTCCAGTGAAGAAACCATGCCGGTCCTGGTCTCGTTCAGAACATGTAGGGAGTTGTGCAGCATGATCAAAGTTGGTCCTTTTCAGTGGATTACAATTCTGACATACCCCCTCTCAATTTAATTCATCGCCTTTAGTGAGGCAAACTTTTCACAGCATTAGAACGCTGTCACAACATGTTCCCCCAGCCCCGACAGTATCCACAACGAAACGCTGTCTCACCTTCCAGCTGTAGGCAAGGCGTTTATGCTGTACAAGAACAATTGAAAGTGGACACAGCTTGGAACCAGGTGCCTACACAGAAGCCACTGTAATCCGTGTTTTGAAACTCGGCAAAGACCTCTTGCTGGAAAGTATTTGCACACTGATCAGCCTCACTAATTGCCTGTGCAAAGCAACAGAGTGCATGGTAAACCATGTCCCTATAACTCTAATGTTTTCCACTTGCACGGCTTACTCATCGCCCAGATGATGGACGCAGCAAGAACCTCTGAAACATCAGTAAACTTCTGCCAGACTGCACGTCACAACAACCCAGAAGACGGCCGTCTTCAGTGTGAAATGTATTTGTATTTCATACTGGGTGAAGGTTTTATTGAAATGATTGTACATTAGAACTTTGCATTTTTCGTATGTGTTATGAATCATCTGGTGCGTTACTGAGAATGGTTAGTAATAAAAGTTGTTATTAGAAAATATGCCTAGAAATGATTGAAAAATTAGCTTAATTTTGAGAGCTATGACATTTCTTTACAGACCGTGACAGTATGGAGACAGCGCCTCCATCGTGGCATCTGGTGAAGGACATTACAGCAGTTGACAGGGATGGACTTTCACAGCTCTCAAAAGGTTAGCTATCTGATAGAAGTACAAATATTCTAAGATGAGTCTGGAAACATGTACAGTTTTTCCAAAGAAACTGCTTCCATGAAAATCATTTGTAGACACATTTTGAAACATTTTGTATTTATTAATTTTGCCTGTGTCTGCATTGGTCTTTTTTTTTAATCCTTTCCATTACATTGAATCGTTAGTTCACAGTGCTGTCAGCCCAATCTTGTAATGTATATATAACACCATGTGTCACACTGTTAAGCACATTCTAGCTGGCCGTGTATCGCTCTAGCGTACTACTACAATAGCCCTTTATTTAGAGCCATTTTATGTGCAGTAGTTTTGTTTGCTGCCATATAAAGTATTTCCATTTGTTTTTTATCTGTGTTTCATTTATCATTATCAAACTCCATGATAGTTATTTTTATCAAGAGATTGTCGAGTTCCAGTGGCATTTGTGCTTTACAGAGTGTTGTGGTTTTATTATCTGAACATGTTTTCCGTTGTGTGGAACAGAGAATGAACTGTGTGAGGAGGCAGAGAAGATGAGCAGTGTGCTGCCCACCATGTGGTTAGGATCCCAGAATGGACATATCTATGTCCATTCAGGTGTTTCTCAGTGGCATCGATGTTTGCACTCAGTACGTCTCAAGGACTCTGTACTCAGCATAGTGTAAGTATAATATCTTACATTTATAATCTAAGGGCAGGGGTGCACGGAAAGTACAAAATAAGCTGAAGCCCCGCAGAGTAGGAGGGCGCGGCGGTGTGCGCGGAAGGGTCAGGGCGCGAGCCCGCCTGGAGCCGCCGCCGGTGCAGATCTTGGTGGTAGTTTTTGTCAGGAACGTTAATGTATTGTTGGTGTGTGTCTGTATTCAGTGGATATTGGGGATATGAATTAAAATAGAGTGTTTGTTATTTAATCGTCCGTTATACTATAAAACGTAAAGTCTGAAATTATGATATTGATTTATTTTAAGAGAAACTCTTCACTTGGTATTTTTTGCGTGTTTCAGTCATGTTAGTGGCCGTGTATTGGTAGCGCTTGCAGATGGGTCAGTAGCCATATTCTGCAGGGGTCCTGATGGTCAGTGGGACTTGGGAAGTTACCATTTAGTTGATCTAGGATTGCCTCATCACTCCATTCGGTGCATGGTGGCCGTCTACGGAAGAGTGTGGTGTGGCTACAGAAACAAGATTCATGTATTACACCCAAGAAGTCTGCAGGTGGAGGTGAGTTAGTTTAACCTTGTAATGGTGGGAATTTCAATTTTTCATTTATCATCACGGACACATTTTATTGTATTATAGACTGTGCAGTATTGTAAACGTTTTAACACCGGTTGTTGATTTTAACAGCAATGTATGAATGCGTAAAATACAGTCTTTGTGAGGAACTGGGATGGAAAGTTTTAAATGGGCTCCTTTGTTCTTCCTTTTCTTAATTTTTGTTTTTGAGTGAGAAATTCAACGGCTTCTCCTTTAAGAGAGTTGGCGATCAATGAGTGTTTATTTTGTGCAAGTAACAAAGTTTCTCAGTAGTTTTTTTCAGCCAGTTGAACTGATCATGCAGCCAATTTGACATATTATATTTTAATTGTTAGAATTAGGTGTAATTAGTAACTTTGGAGAGAAGAAATATATATATATATAGTGTATTGTTTCTTGTAGAAGTCCTTGGATGCTCACCCCCGGCGTGAGAGCCAGGTTCGTCAAATGGCCTGGCTCGGAGATGGCGTGTGGGTGTCAATCCGACTGGACTCTACGCTGAGGCTTTATCACGCCCACACATACCAACACCTCCAGGACGTCGACATTGAACCTTACGTCAGCAAAATGCTAGGTGAGTTTGAATTTTCCGTGTTTTACTCCAGCTTTTCTCTACCTGACATGAGCTTCTGCTTCCAGTCCTCTGTATTCTTTAAGCGGGCATTTAAACATCACAAGGGAAGAGAATGTTGTAATTTTCTGAAGTCAATGTCTTGGTTCAGAAACCGGAAAAATGACAAAATGATGTCATGTAATTACATGTCAAGATGTATTTAACATCGTTATAAGCTAACAACTGACCAGATAAATGGTACTGTTTAACGAGCTTAAAGGTCTTAATTATTAGGATTAGAGATAGTTTTAGAGCTTGCAGCTAGATGTAACGAAAGAGTGCACTTAGGCATAATTGTAACAAAAACTTCATTTTTGAACGTACTGTAGTCACAAGCAACTGCCACTTACAGCCTAGATACAAATCCTACTTCTGTATGATGGGGGATCTTCACATTTCAGCACTGCTGTAGCAAGTAAGATTTGAATCCTATGGATTTCTATGCAGAACTCAGGTTTATTGGACAAAGTTGTACACATGGGAGAACTTTGGAATCACACAGCATGCTGAAGTAGAAACGAGAACTGTACCAGAATAAATGCTCAGTGTACAATATTTGTAGGTGCACAAGTGTTTTTTAAGCGTTCATTAAAATAATTGTGACCATTTTCAGCAGTTGGCGTAGTTGTTTGTAACTACTGTGCATTCGGTAATAAAGTGTTGCATTAACATTTCGTGTTTCTTTACTACCAATTAAAAGGTTTAAAAATGCTACATCTTGATGATTAAACTCTTCATGCCTCGCATGTATAAATCCTCTTAAGTTCAGCATTGATTAACACTTTGTACTTTTGGACATTTAGTTATGGGGCACTCTGTATGCTGAGAATTTATAGGGAAAATCTTAAAGGGAGGAGGTAGAATAATTATTACATGTAAAGTCAGTTAATTTAGGTTTTAGTAATGTGTCATGATTAATGGCTTATTCGTAAAGTGGGTGAAACAGAAATCATAGCGAAGTGTGCATTCACATACAGGATTTCTTTATTGCCTGTACTGGGTCTTAAATGTGAATTCAGTGAAATGTGCATAAATTAGACATCGAGTCAATGAAGATTTTGAAATTACGGTATGTTTTTCACTCTTACCATAGATTGAGTTCTCAGACAACTTTCATTTTAGTTCATACAGGGTCATAATAATTCTTGCTGTACTCAAAATTGCAATTTAGCTTTTACCTCTATATTCAGTTATAAAATAGAAAAATTCTTCCTAATTTTGGTAGTTCATGATTTGTTTCCGTTACCGGCGCTGTTATTGCCGACACAGTCGGCATACGATTCTCTGACATCTGATAACACAGAGTAGTTTTTATATTACAAATGTAGATCTGTCCGTGCTGTGTTTATCTGTAGTCTGCATTGATAAAGTGCTTGTAGTAGCTTTGGCTGTGATGAAACTGATTAGATAATAGCCAATATGCTTCATTAAAATAATCGAATAAAACACGTGTGATGGCGTTGCTGTTGAAGTTGGTATTTTTTGAAAAACAATTATTGTTTTCTGTTTTCTGAGCCAGATGTTTTTAAAATTACTAGGGGATTGGCTGTAGAGGCATCAGCATCAACAGAATTATGTAACCCTCTATTACCACTATTACTTACTAGATGATTAAATCAAGGTGTTCTGACCTCAAATGTCTTTGAAAATTTACAGATGAATAAAATATTAATACAAATAGCAACACCAGAACAACATTTATGTCTGCTGGTTACAAATACGCCAAATATGCCAGTGGTATTGAAGACATGACCAAAACAATTATTCACTTACATGCAAACCTTTAAAAAGGCTTTATTTGTAAACAGCAAGGCAGGCAGTAACAGCACATACTTCTGCTAACACAATGATAACAAAAGTACGCAACTCAACAAAAATTTCTGGAAGGCCTACACAAGGAAATAAAACTACAAAGGTTGCTCTTCCACTGTGGAATAGGGGCTGACATTTGAGTGAGGAAGGCATTTTGCTCAACTACGCGAACGTTCCACTCATCAAAATCAGGAATTCAAGACTCCATACAAGAGGCACATCGATCAGCAACTGTATCATACGCCATAAATGAAACACATTAATAAAAAACACAAGTGTTTCACCCATCAGAAGCAGCCATTAAAAATACTACAAAAGACGCACACGTTCTACCCATCTAAAGCAGGCTTTAAAAACGCTGTATAAAAGTATAAATAGAAGCAGACTGTGAAAGCAAAAGGAAAGATAAGAATCTTCACAGTAACAAGCAAATCTATGATATCTGTGAAGGTGGACGTCTTTGGATGGTGGTGCAAAGACCCAAACCCTACAACGGACGGAGATTGCTCACTTCAAAATAAAAAAAAACATGAACGTTGTTGCTTTTAGGATAGACATCTGGGAGCCTGAGTACAAGCTAGGTGCACAGTCACACCCGTTGCTTTGGCAATAAAACTTTTCACACACTTATTATTCATAATGCGTGAGATTTTCTTTGAAGAGCTCCTTTGTTCCTGAATGTTATAGTGCATTTATAATAAATAATTTCTGCATTGGTATAGTTTACTTCTAACTTTTTATACCAATGTCATTTAGGGTTCTAATTGTTAGAAGCTGAATTTCCCGTCACATTCTATATGTCTTTGGGATCCGCTCGTATCCTGAACTTGTTATAATCGACATACCAAATTTCGCTGAAATCAGAACAAGGAGAGTTGCTCACTTCAGGTGAAAGATCGAATATATGGTTACAGAATTCACAGTGCAACCAATATAAAACACATTTTCACGTGGGAAGGTGAAAATAACATTCAGACCCAAGAATACGCTATAACCTGTAGTATATTAATTAAAACTTGAGCAAGATGTAGGTCATGTTAATTAAATTTGACACGAATAATTGTGGATATCTTTCATTCATTATGCAGTAATATTGTAAGGTCTGAAAGTGCACATTTAAGCATAAATTTTTTTAAAAAAACATTGCATGCTTTTGTTAAGTTTATACAGCAGGAAGTTTGTCGACAAACAACTTTTGGCCAATCATGTTTTAAGAACTTTGGGGCAGTTCCGTATAAGTGCCAGTGTCATGGAAACTGATCTCAACTACCATCATTTTGCCTTACTTAATGCTTGTCTGTGACATGTTACAGATTAAACACGTGAAATTAGGACTTGGAAGTAAATAATCCTTACCTGCAGCTAGTGCGTTGTTTAAATCCTGTCTGGTGGCTTTACTCTTTGTATCTGCAGCATCCTAGGAGCTACGTATCACTGTCAACACTAATCTTGATTGTTTTTGTTGTGTTGTTCTATGCTTTCCTCTGGTCTGGGTGTTGCACGCATTGCATTACGTGCATACGTGCGTGTGATGTGCATTGCTGTGTGCACTTGTGTAGCAGAGTTTCCTGGACGTAGTAAGCACACTTTCAGTTTTTATTCTGTTGGTATGCTTGTGATTCTGTTTTGCCTGCCGAAGTAACTGCTTGCTCTTGCTGTGATGTAGACTTTACCTAACACCGTCATCATCAAGTTGTGCGCTTATTTTCCTCTTTTCATAAGTTGCTGTGTGAGATATTTTTTATGAAAGAACAGTCCCAGTGTTATTAACAAATATGTGTGCAGACAGTTTCAGTGAAAGGTAGAATCTTTGTGGGTAGAGTATGCAGACACTGAAACATATCTTAAATGGGTTCTTCACAGTTTGAAGAGCTTGGAATTTTACAGCTTCTTAAGACTCCTGTGACTTGCTTAATCCAGTAATAACGCAAAATATGTCGTCAGGTATCAGGGAATTTTGCCTTCCTACCTTTGCTCTCACTTATGTCTATTCGTGCGCCAACCTCCACCAAGTTATCTCCAAGATAAGATCTCTTCCCTGAATGTCTTTCCACTAATGTTTGGCCTCTCTGGGAAAACCTTGTTTGGGGAATGATCTTGCTAATGATTTTAATGGCAGTGACTTGTGCATATCTCATCTTCCATTCATATACTGAACCCTTCATAAACTAAACCAGAAAAAAATTTGGTATCAGGATTCATTGCATTGAATTCCAATTGCTGAATATATTAATTGACAGTAATTCTGACATATAAACAATAACAATGGAAGGAAAATTGTTGTTAAAACATGCAATAAAAGTTTAATGTAAGTCTTGACCTGAGTTGGCGAATTTTAACTCTTCTTTGAATAACTCTTAATTTGGCATACTGAAATGATGAGTTTGAAAGGGTGAAGCCAATTTAAATACTCGCATTTTCAGTAATCAAAGAGGTACATAGTGCAGCAGCTATTTCCAAAATACATTTTGATTTTTAATATGTGTTACATGCATTAAACAGATTTCGCATGAGGCATTTTTATATATTTTACACGAGCGTCTTTCGAATGATGTTCCTAGAATGGCGGTTTTCTGAAGTTCCCTGATGTTGTGTTCGCCCGGGATGTTGGCCAAATATTTTTTGAGTGACTTGGAGACAGTTCCATTTTCTCCCTATAATTATTGACACTTTCCACATTCGCTGTATTTCAATGAGAAGGTCCTTGTATTTCAAGATCTTCTCCGCCTCCTTCTTAATTACGTTCCTGTCAGTCGGTATTGCTATGTCAATTAAGAGACAAGTTCCATTTTTGTTTCGGGTTATAATATCTGGTGTATTATTTGGGATGGTTCTCTCTGTTTTGACTTGTTGGTTCCACAAAATAGTTATTTGGTTAACCTGACTTGTCTCAACTGCCTTCGGGATGTGTTCATACCAAATGTTTCTTTTCTAGCTTTACCCCATCTTTCCTGCGTATGTTAAGATGCAACTGAGCACACACACGATCATGTATTTGTATATATTGCTCTTTAGCCAGCACTGGGCATTCAGACACGTGATTGGTCATTTCCTCAAATTTCTGACATAATCTGCATTTGGTGTCTGTATCTTTTTTAAAATTTTGGCTGCATAATATTTAGCTTGGTCTTGTGCTGCTATAATTTGACTTTCAGTTCCCACTTTTAGATCTCCTTTTATTCAGCTGCTTCTGCTGCCAACTACCACCATGAATAATACCATTTTGCTTGTTTTAACTGTTTTTAAAGCAGCAATTTTATGTCTTTGCCTTGCTAAAACTGAATATCAAAATATTTTGCAAAAGAACCTAGTATTAACTTTAGAAAAAGCAACTGAACAAAGACAAGAGGCCTCTAAAATAGACGCATGTTTGAACAACAGAAGTGGCTATGCCAGAAGACATTAGTTAGGCGTACAATAAAATAGTGCAAAAAACCAAGAAATAGAGGAACTTGGTAATTCATCAATGGGCAGAGCCGCTTACACAGCTGAAAAGTCCTAAAGGGACCCTGTATGTGAAGAAAATATACACTGAAAAGTCTCAGATATGAAGGAAGACAGTTTGGCAGGACGTTTTGATACAGGTGTAAATTCATCGTGCTATGAACATCCCACAGAAAAGTTTCATCATTCAGAGCCCGTTACTTGTCTCATGGTCCATTTGAACTGAATGGTTCTCATCCATGTGGTAATGGTAGCAAGGGAAGATGTTTATTTGAATCTTATTGCTGTAATCTGAGATCAGCTGGTATCAGTTTTAGGTATTCATGACTTCAGCACTCACAGCATTATAAAGTATATTGTCAAGCGTGTGTTACGTAAGAATTATAATGTAATTGTGCATAGGTGGATCATTCAAGTGACTAGCGTCATCTTTCATGAAGACTTTGTTTATGAAAAGTCATATTAATATGTTCAGTGTTAAAAAGTACACAGACTTTTAAAGACAAGGTCTGCAGTTCAGAGAATATTATCCTTAAAAATAGTTTACCGTGAGGAATTCTAAAGATATGACCCAGTAACAACAGTTACTGGCATAAGATACATTTATTGAAGAACAATTCACAATTATTCTACTAAGTAACAAGAATGATCAAGCAATGGCTTTGGGAATATTCCAGTGGGCTTCCACGTTTTCTGGTGAACGCCCGAGGTCAATGTTTTCCCCTTCACATTGCCTTCATCTTCAAACTTACGGTACAAATGAAGAATAGTGTTTACTTCAGGTGCCCAACGAGTGTGGAAGACAGCCACGTATCTTCTCTGGGTAGCAGTAACACTCCTTGTTTCAGCAAAAAAAAAAAAGACAACTACTTTGGCTCTCTGTTCAATCGTCAGACGTTCATGTGCAGATTTCCATTGCACAAAATTTACCAGACCTAACCCCAAAGTTTTACTTTGTCGCCATATCTTACCATAAAAGTTATGATTTTTCCCATAGAATTATTTGCATTTATAACCCCAGAGGTTCATTGTTAACTGACATCCAACCGAAAGCACACATATTTCACGTAGAACCAATCACGTTCTTATTTCATTCTGTAAAGAAATTACATGAAAATTTGCATATTACCACAAAGATTTTCTAGGATCAGTATAATCATTTCGGAAACTCGTGTGTTTGAACTCTTGGTGATGGGTAATTGTACAGAGTAGAGTTGATTTTAAGGTTCATTAGGAGGGTACAAACAGAAATGGTGTAACCTTAAGACTTTTTCTTAAAATGCAATGCAAGTTGGGCCCTTTCCTTAGAATAATCTTTTAATAGAAACAATGTTTATTTTTTGTTATGGCAGGTACAGGCAAGTTGGGATTCTCCTTTGTGCGGATCACAGCATTGCTCATTTCTTCCAGTCGTCTGTGGATTGGAACTGGCAACGGTGTCATTATCTCAGTTCCTCTTTCTGAAAGTGAGTACTGACATTCATTGGCGTTAATTAAAGTAGGTTATGCCGAAAATATTCTGTTGAAAAATTGTTATTTGTTCGCTGAAATCTTAATCTTACACAGTGTGGTCTATCGGTATAATTCTTATGGGAGTATGAAGGCCATTATTGACAACGAATTTCTACATAAAATAAACACCACTGATTTCTACTTTTACCAGAAAGTCCTTTCATTGTGATGTATGTGATAACGAAACTTAATCTGTTAGAAACCAGTTGGTTTTCAAGTGAAGAAGCTAGCCATGGTAAAAGAGGATAGTTTTATGCTGGATTTTTTAAGAAGTCTCATTAATTCACGCCACACTTTGGACGACCATTTGTAACCATTCATTGCCCCACGCTTTAGGAGGGCTGTCATAATTAGTTAGTTACATTTGTTGTGGTTGCTAGCTCGATTCTCTGGCCACAGGCTGGAACTTTTCACTGCAGTGTTGAAATTGTCGTGTCATGGTTGTCACTGAGTTTTAAAAACAGGAAAGGTGATTTGTGTTGATATAATGATCCAAATAACAAAGTCGTGATAAATCACGTGACGGCGAGATGGGTTATCGGCACTGGGATTTATTGAAATTAAGTTTTGCTGTATTTACTATGCAGCACACAATGTAACAAACACCCATGACCTCTTTGACGTGAAGTATCGCAATGGCCTGCCAGGGTAGTGAGTTTAAATGTTTTGCAGGGTGCTCTTTGA